AGGTAAGGGCAACAGAAATGCAGCTGTAATGAAAAATAGAGCACTTTGGAATTACAACAGGTATGAGGTGGTGAGAGAGATTTGGAAAGGGGTCATGGTGCCTGGCTTGACTTTTGGAAACGCAGTGCTATGCATGAAATCCGAAGTGCATGCGAGACAAGAAATAAAACAGCGCGGAGTAGGTAGACTGGCTTTGGGGGCACATTGCAAAACGCCAAACCAGGGAGTACAAGGAGACATGGGATGGGCATCATTTGAGAGCAGGGAAGCGGTGAGCAAGGTAGAATTTGAGGATAGGTTGAGGCAAATGGACGGGGAGCAATGGGCACGAAAGGTTTTCAGCTATTTATACATGAGGAGTGTAGACACAAAGTGGAGACAGCGCTAGGAAATTAAGAGGAAAGTTTTTGGGCTATAGCGAAGATACGGAAGAGCAAGTCTCAGTTAAGAAGAAAGTTAAGGCCACAGAAAGAGATTGGTGGCTAGAGGGAATGCAGACAAAGACGGCTCTGGAAAGCTATAGATTAAACAAAAGAGTTATTGCCAAAGAAAGCATTTATGACAATTCTAGGGGAAGCTCATTGCTGTTTGAGGCAAGAACGGGTGTTCAGCGAACCAGTACATACAGAGTGAGGTACCAGGAAATTGATACAGTGTGCACTGCTTGTGGAGAGGAGGACGAGACGGCTGAACACTTGATACTCTACTGTAAAGGGCTTCACCCTATGCCTACCGAAGACAACATAGATTTAATAAAGTCATTGGGTTTTAGAGACAGCGAAGGGAGAGTGGATTTCAAGACTGTAGAGATTACCAAGCAAAGATTAAGTGAATGGTGGCAGAAATCGAGAGAAAACTAGGTATTTTCTTATCCACTGATGGCAAGGGGGTTTCATAGCCTCACTTTCTTTGCACTGCGGAGTGAATATAGATTTCACATTTAAATATTCTAAGCTTAAATGGTAAAACAAAATGGCTAGGTGGCGTAAGCTACCGCCCGATCCAAAGGGCTCAGCCGTATTCATCCATCCATCCATCCATCCATGGTGGAGGCTACAGCTGCACTCGGCTGGTCGGGCTAGCAGCTCGCGCTTGCCCAACTTTCGCAGTTAGCCCATGTTAAGGTGAGTCGAAGTGTTAAATACAAGACACCCCACGAGAATACATAGGAAATGTCGACAACGACGATCTGCGGAAACACGAGTGACAGCGGCAGCGGCACCGTCTTCGCATCCGCGACCCCCTCAACCTCCTCGCATTCCGAGGCGTCGCCTTCACGTGCTCTCGCGGCGAGATGAAAAGGGGTGGGCGGAGAGAGGTGTCGCCAAATAAACCAGTCCACTAGGGGTGGTTTATGGCGTGGACGTCGTTCTGTCTCATGCAGATGAGGAGAGTGTCCTGTAATCGCCTAGTAAAGTATTTGGAGGAACTTTCCTCCCGTCTGCCTGGCGAAGGAAAAAACATATCGTCCCCCCCCCCCCTTTTTTTCTTCTGGCCGCTTGGGGGCACCGTAGTAGAAGGGAGGAAAGGACTCAGTTTGCTACCTATTTTCTCTTTTTTTTTTCTTAGAGTGTGGGTGCACGTCACTTCCTGCCTCGCCGAGCATGACGGAAATGGCGGGCGACCGTCGCGATTAGGAGTTTGCTGGCACTTTCCGGAAATCACACGAGCGCCCAGCGCGATGGGAAATGCCGGGAAGACAGTCGGCCGTCCCGGAGGCTTGTCATCTTCCGCTGGTGGAGTCGGAGGCGCGGTGGCTCCGCACAGATCGCATGTTCCGTAGCGGATTTAGTAAATTGCGATAAAGCTCTGAGCGGAGTCTAGAATTAGTGGCTCTGGATCTACCGTTTTAAAATTTTTATTAAAGCTATTCAGCGTCAATAATTGGGGGGGGGGGGGGGGGAATCACATTTTTACCCGACTTTAAATGGCGCTTCCCTTCTACAAGGAAACAACAACAAAGACCCACATTCTTGCGCGTGTGTGTTTTGATAGCGCTGTTAGCAACTTCTGTGATGGAATATATACTACAGTGGAAGTTTCGGGATACAACTTCTGAAGAAGCATCATGATTGCCACCAACAAAACAATGCTACGCCCACACACACAAAAAAAGGAGAACATACTTGCTAAAGTTAGAGTAAGCGTCTCGCGGTTTAAATTTGATCGATCCCTCAAGGACTTGTACTATGCAATACCATAGCACTGATAAATAGACCCATTTCAAAAGTCTATCGAGCAACATTGGCGGTCAGCATTTCTTGGGCACGAAGAACGTGATCGGATCCGACTCCTTGCCGAACGCTGACGCAGACCTCGTATCCAATACATGCTCAGAGTATACGTGATCAAGCAATGGCGGACAGGTGATGGCGCGGACTTTTGAAAAGGGTCTATTACAATTGTTTTGCAATAATTAACTCAAGATTTTTCCTATGGGCCAAGACGGCGTCGTTTCCAAACCGTGTTGCTTGCATCGGGGCTGCAGGGTGACTCTGGACTTTCTCCTTTTTGCCCCTTCTCTGGCGCCTGTGCGTCGTGAACTGTATTTCCGGAAGCTTTGCTGGTCGCGTCAGAAGGCGATGTTGAAGAAATCGGCGACTTGGGGGCCGCTTCCAAATTATCGGGGTGATCGGGCATAACACCATCAGTTTTGAGGACATAATTTGGCTCTTGATAGTCGCCTGGCTGTTTGGAAGAGAATGACAATTTGACATTTGGTGATCCGTCTATAGCCATAACCTTTTGGCCTTCTAAGGCCAAATGCTTCTACAATTCAAAACGCTGTTTCAAACGCCGAACACTGCGCGAGCAGCCAGTGACGCTATTGATCACTCTGATTGGAGGGATATAGTGGGTGGAGAGAAAGGCAGCTAACCTTTGAATCTGACCAATATCCTTCCAGTCAGCTCGGAGTCCTGACGTCACCGCACGCTCATCATCTCCTCCTCTGGTTCAGTTTATCTTCGTATAGGTTCACTTTGCCCTCGTACCCACTTATCGTAGGATCCGTGTGTCCAGTATGGACTGACCCCCAGCTAATTTTCCAGCTGACCTGTTTAACGTACCTTGCCTGATTGGTCTGGTGTGGTTGTCTTGTCTTGCATACCCGACTGTTCCAGTGTGACTAGTTGATCTGATGGTTTTTCTGTTTTCTCTGGCGCCACTGTCTCGTCTGGTAGGCTTGGTTGTTCTGGTTGGCTTACTAGAGTCGATTTCATTGAACCATCAAGTTTGTTTGATTTCTTTCGTTCGACTATATTGTCTGTTGAGCCTGGTTGTTCCGGTATGCCTAGATGAGCTGATTTGAGAGGTATATCTTGTCTGTTTGTTTTTTGTGACCTCAATAATGCTTTTGCTTTGCAAGGCGATGGCGGTATTTCAGGCTGTCGTGGTTTATCTGGTTGGCCTGGTATCTCTTGTTTATTTTGTGGAACCGGTCCTCTTGTCCTTTCTGGCTGACTGGACCGATCTTGTTTTGGTCTTTCAGGTCGGTCACTTTGCTCCAGATGACTAGGTTCCCCCGATGATACTACGTGCTCGTTGTCTGCGTTTCGTGACTCTGATATTAAAGGCGTTTCAGTTTCAAAATGAACTGTTTGTTTAATCCCTGCTGCCGAAGCCGAAGCTCTAGATGGGGCTTCTTCCTGAGGTTCCTCAGAAAACACATCTCGGTCGCCTACCTCGCAGCCGTAGCAACTCACCTCTTCGGAGCATGTGTGTTTCGTGGTGACCTGTTCGTCCATGGTTCTACTATTTGTCAAGCGATTCAGTGCTTCAATAATAGATTGTCCAGGTTCGTATGGGAAGTGAGGCCTATTCTTTTTCTTCTTCGAACGCACAATAAAGAAGAAACGTGCTATACGTGCCTGGCGGCATCGTGTTGCGCAGCGTAGAGCGTGTAATAAAGTGTTGTGTACTGAAGTGCAGCGTGAGAGCGCGCGGCGCGCTCTCACGCTGCACTTCGCTGCGCTGCGCTGCAGCGCGCGGCGCGCGAGCATGGCTCAACGCAATTTCGCGTGCAACGCGAGACACGGCCATTTCTACGCCGACCCTGCTCACACAGGACATGCTTGTACATATCTTAGTAAAGCGGGGCGCACCGCGCTAAGCCCACCAAGGTGTCCTGTCTCGCTCAGTACTTAAAGGAGCGGTGCAACGATATTCAATTGGAATGTTTTTCACTTGACACGAGTTTACTGGCACACCTGGGACTCAATGATACACGCGACGCCACTGGCCAAGAAATTCCTTTGTTGCGGTGTAATTTCAAGGACAAAAGCGATCATTTTCGTTCAATCTCTCCTTTTCAAAATTTGATGACGTAACGTGGGGATCGTGTGTGTTGTAAGCGCTTTATTGACCATAGTACAGGGTAAAGGGAATAGGGGAGTGCGTCAAGTAGCTCTTGGCTTGGACGCTGGCACATTGGGCGAGAAGGGAAGGGATAAAACACTTAAAGGGGAGGTGAAACGATATTCAATTGGAATATTTTTCACTTTACACGAGCTACTGGCAGTAGTGGGACACAAGAATACTCGCACGCAACGCCACTGACCAAGAAACCTCTTTGTTGCGCTGTAATTTCGAGGACAAAACCGAGTGTTTTCATTGAATCTCTCCTTCGCAAAACCTGATGACGTCGCTCGGCGGTAGCAGTACCGCCCAGGGAGGAAGAAGATTGGATGGAGTGTGGACGTGTCTCGCCTATGCTCCTCTGATTTTGGACACCGGGTATTTTTTATATTTTTTTTATTTTTATTTATTTTTTTTTTTTTTTTTAATATTTTTTTTTAATTTTAACTGGAATCAACAGCCCGTGACGAACGGACATCTAGACTATCATCATTTTTGTTTCAAGGTGGGCCCTTGTTTTTCACGAATTTCGAGGCTCCGAAGTGTTCGACGAGCCATGTCGAGTGCTAAGCCTAAGCTTAGACCCACCGGCCAGAAGTCGTCGGCGGCGGCTGAGGCTCCGCTCGGAGACTGATCTAGCCATGATGGAGACCGTGGAAGGTACGGAGATTGATCCGGAAGAGTTGAACGTGCCAGGACAATGGTACGTTAGTAAGAAGAAAGGAAAAGCGGCCCCCCTAGTGGACAACGAGGCACGCCATATGGAACGGCAGCGAGCCGCCGAGAAGCTCGCAGGGAGGAAGCTGGCGGCAAAGTCGGTTGAAAGGCAGTTTGCCCGAGTTCCGGACGGCGCCGACAAAATAGTCATGAGGCCGCACGGCGGTCTCACACGTATGATGAAATACGGAAGTGCGTATTTGGCCGACGTAATACTTAGGGCTGCTGGTGTCAGCCCAGACGCGGCCGGGGAGGACGTCATCTTGAACGTGAAGCAACATTCCATTCTCGTCGCCACCGTCAGCGCAGAGAGGAAGAGAAAATACGCCGACTTGAAGCTCCTCATGTTTGAAGGGGAAAAAATAGAAATGACTACGTACATCGCTATGCCGGAGGACTGCGGGAAAGGCGTCGTTCATGAAGTCCCTTTGTCCTTCTCGGACGAAGATATTTTGAAAAGGCTGCAAATCTACGGGAATCCTCCGGTCCTAGGAGTGCGAAGACTCGGAAGAGTATCGAGGACAGTTTTAATACTCTTCGAGGACAGAGAGGTACCGCGCTGGGTGCGACTCACGCCCGTGGCGCAACGCTGCGTACTCTACCGCAAGAAGTACGAGGTTTGTAACGCCTGCGGCCGGCTCGGGCACCGCGAAGACGTCTGCCCGGACCCCGGAAATGTGAAATGCCGTGGCTGTGGCATGGAGAAACCGCCACAAAACCATTTATGCGAGTCCAAGTGCCAACTGTGCGGGAGAGGACACCCGCTCGGTGACAAAAAATGTAGAGAACTCTATCGTGTCCCTTACGAGGTGAAGAGGAAGATATGGGAACGCAAGATCAACATGCAACAGCATCAGCAACTTCAGAAAAAGCAGCAAGCCGGAGCGACCACCGAGGGGAATCTCCGAGGTCGTTCCAAGGTCAGGCGCGGAAACGAGGACTTTCGCGCCAGAAGCGACTCCTTCCCGAGGCTGGGGGAGACCACCGGGGGGAAGCAGCAGCGCAACCGCTCGAGCTCCCGCACCAGGGCGCACTCCGGATCCAGACCCGGGGGGAGATCGAGTTCCCGGGTCCCGGCGAACGCGTGGACAATGAAGCGGAGCCCGAGCAGGGATCGAAAAGGTGTAAGCTTTGGCAGTGAGGTTTCCCAGGCAAAAAATAAGAAGGACGAGGAGATCGATAAATTAAGGAAAGAGGTTGGGGAGCTTAAAGAGGTCGTTAATAAGCTCACTCAAGAGTTACAGAAACCAAGATTGCAGGAGTGTACGGGGTCCCCCTCCCCCCCCCCCCCCCCCCCCCCCCCCCCCCCAGAGTTCAACCAAAATTGGTACTGCAACCAACCCCCCCGGCCTCTAGGGCTGAGACTTCCACGCAGCATGCGGCACCAGGGGAGGAAAAGATGATTTTAGAATTGGCTAGACCGCCTCCACCGAAACGCAAAGGGAAGACGCTGATCCGTTGGTAGCACTGGAGAAAAAATTAGAAGCCAAAATCGAAGCCAAATTCGATTCTTTCATGGCCCAAATTGTGGGAGCAATAAGTCAAACTCAAAGCCAGATACAAGCCCTTACGGGTGAAGTTCAAAAGCAAAGGGCAGAATTAGTTGCCATCGGAGAACGGCAACAAAAAGCTGAGGAAAAATTCGACCCGCTCCAAACTGACCAGAGGCGCACGAAGTGAGTTGTTAATCTGGCAGTGGAACTGTCGCGGCTTCCAACGCAAGCGGGCGTTAGTGCAACAATATCTGACGCTATTAGATGAGAAACCGCTAGTGATAGCCCTGCAGGAGACGGGCAAAATAGCAAAACTCTCAGGATACCAAGCTTTTTCAAGTGACAGGGGTGAGAAATCTCGCGTCACAACGTTGATTAAGAGGAATATCGCAGCTATTGAGCACGAAATAAACTCGAAAGAAATTGAGGCAGTGCTATTGGAAATACTTACGGGACGAAAGGAGGAACCGAGCGTCTTCCTCTTAAATTTGTATAGTACCCCAAAGCAGAGAAAGGTGGCATTCAGGGTCCTCTTCCGCAAAGCGATTAAGGCAGCCGGCACCAACCCCTTGCTAATAGTTGGTGACTTTAATGCGGCGCACCCGGAATGGGGTTACGCTAAACAAGATCCTAAAGGCAGGCAGTTATGGGAGGATGCGCATGAGCTGGGAATCACACTACACACCGACCCTAGTAGTCCATCCAGGGTGGGTAACAGCGTGTGCGCAGACACCTCCCCTGACCTGACATTCTCCAAAAATGTGACAGACCTGACGTGGCAAAATTCGGAGCAAAATTTCGGCAGCGACCATTTTATTCTGGCCTCGATCATTAAAAAAGGAGTGAAGACGCGTTGTGCGCGTCAACCGAGGATTACCGAATGGGAATTATTTAGGAATAAACGAGAGAAAGCTGCCACTGGGAGGATCACAAACATAGAGAAATGGACGGAGATCCTCAAGCGTCACGTTGGGGAGGCCACAAAGACACTTGAAGGGGACAATGCCCCTGAGGTAGCTGATAGCAAACTGCTTCACATGTGGGAGGCAAAACACGGTATGGAGCGCAGACTAAAGAGGCAAAAATGGAACCGCAATCTGAGAAGGAAGATTGCTAGACATAACAAAGAAATTGAAAATTATGCGATCAAATTGTGCGAACAAAATTGGTGCAGCCGATGCGACGAGATGGAACGGGGCATGAGCCTTGCCAAAACATGGGGTCTGCTGAGACACCTATTAGATTCGACCAATTCGAAAACTCAATCAGGAATTAGATTATCAAAAGCCAGGCACGCGTTCGAGGTCACAGACGCAGAATTTATGGACAAACTAGTCAACATGTATATTGGTGATACCGCTAGTACCCCCCTCTTAGAGTACGACGGAGCTCCCAACGAGGAGCTCGACGCACCCATCACGGAAGCGGAGGTCAGGGCAGAAATATTGGGACTAAAAACAAAATCGGCCCCGGGTTCTGACGAGATAACTAACAAAATATTAAGAAACCTGGACAATGACTCCATCAGCGCTCTGACGGAGTACATGCAAGATATTTGGACTAAAGGTCACCTGCCTCGGCAGTGGAAGTCGGCAAACGTAATTCTAATCCCAAAGCCGGGCAAACCCCCTAGACTAGAAAATTTAAGACCAATTTCCCTAACCTCATGCATGGGGAAATTGATGGAGCGCGTAGTCCAGACCAGATTGACGCGCTTTATGGAGCAAAACGACCTGTGGCCGTGCGAGATGGTCGGCTTCCGGCCGGGCTTGAGTACGCAGGACGTGATGCTCCGACTGAAACATGACATAATCGATTCGCGTTCTAGAGACGCCAAAGTAATTCTCGGTCTGGACTTGACAAAGGCTTTTGATAATGTTAAACACGAAGCGATCCTTTGCGGTCTCCAAGAAATCGGGGTAGGTACGCGAACGTACGACTACATCAAGGACTTTTTGTCAGACAGAACTGCCTGCATAAAGTTCCAAGACATTGAGTCACACACACTAAAGTTAGGGAGCAGGGGCACGCCGCAGGGCTCGGTTCTCCCCCCGTTCCTTTTCAACGTGGCAATGAGGAGCCTCCCAGCAGCTCTGAGGAGCATAGAGGGGCTCAATTTCAGTATTTACGCGGACGACATCACCCTCTGGATTAACCAGGGGAGTGATGCGAGCATTGAGGAGCGCTTGCAGGCGGCGACAGACACTGTCGTGAATTATGCTGCCAATAGGGGCCTCTCATGCTCTCCGCAAAAATCTGAATTATTCGTCTATAACCCAAAGTCTCTACGATGCAAACGCAGATGGGATTTTAGCATTAAAGTAGAGGAGAAACCAGTTCCAAAGGTAGATCAGATCAGAATCTTGGGACTGTTCATTCAGGAGAATGGATATAATGATGGTGCAATCAAAAGACTAGAAAGATTTGCCACGCAAGCCCTTGGACTATTTAAAAGGGTCGCGCTGAAAGGACGAGGCCTGAAAGAAAGAAGCTTGCTTAAACTAATTCAAGCATACGTAATAAGCCGCGTGAGCTATGCCACGCCTTTCTTAAACATCAGGTCGGAGGAGAGAAGAAAACTAGACTCGCTCATCCGACGATGCACAAAGAGGGCCCTGGGCTTACCAATTAGCACCTCCACAGTGAAGCTTCTCTCTATGGGAGTGCACAATACCTGGGACGAAATAGCGGAGGCTGTCAGAATATCGCAGCTCGAAAGACTTAGCCGAACAACCACGGGCAGAGCTATCCTCGAGATGGTAGGCCTACAAACAGATAGGGGACTACGAGTCAAGTCAAGCATTCCGCAGGACTGCCGAGAAAACCTAATCATTCCCCCCCTCCCTCGTCACATGCATCCCATATTCAACACGGAGAGGAGGGAGAAGAGAGCAGAAGCACTAATCAGACGCTTCGATTTAATGGACAGCAAGTCGGTTGCGTATGTGGACGCGGCAAGTGGCAAGTCGGGTGCGGCGGTCGCCTCGGTGGTTGACGGCCGAGGTGCTCCCGTATCGGCCGCCACCATTAGAAGCCGCAACGCAGAAACGGCTGAAGAAGTTGCGATAGCGCTCGCTTGCGTTGGAACGAAAGCCAATTTTATTATTAGCGATAGCAAAACGGCCATCTGGAATTTTGGGAAGGGTAGGATCTCGCCGGAAGCGGCAAGGATTCTTACCGGTAGACAGCTAAACAGAAAAATTAGCCTAATTTGGACCCCCGCACACACGTCCGTTCCTGGCAACGAGGCGGCCCACGAGTTAGCCCGAGCTCTCTACTTCCGGGTAACTGTGGAGCCGCCCGACTGCCGGAACATGGACGAGCGTCTGCAAACTTATACGGAGATTGTGGAAAATTATAGATTACAAAGGAAACAGGTGCCACCACCAGACAAAAGTCTAAGCAATAGGGAGGCAGTCGCATGGCGGCGCCTGCAAGCTGGGAACTTCATAAACCCAGTCTGGGCATACCATGTTCGGATAGATGACAGGCAACACGATAAGTGCAAGCACTGTGGGGCGAAAGGGACCCTTGACCACATAATCTGGGAATGTGCTAGCTCCCCAGGGGCTAAAGCAAATATAAATTGTGGAGAAGCCTGGGAAGCTCTGCTGCGGAGCGAGGTCCCTGCTCTACAGCAGCAAGCCACCCGCCTGGCGGAAGAAGCCGCGAAGAGCCAAGACCTCTTTGCCTGCTTCTAACCGCGGAGGTCCCTGGCCCCGTATCCTAGGCCTGCGTGCCGGGGACGAGGACTAGGTGTCTCCTCATCTGGTGGAACATTAAAGTTGTTATCTATCTATCTATCTATCTATCAGTACCGCCCAGTGAAGATATTTGAATGCGGCTCATAGATTGGACCCGAGCATGGCGTGGATACTCGATTTGGGCTCGTGATAATCGATAGCTCGAGAAGCATTCGGGTAGTGTCCTGTGTCCAATCGCTGCAATGACGACAACAACCGAACCATAACAGTGTCTAGAACTCACCGCGTGTCCTGTGCCTTGCCAACCCCAGCGCGAGGCTATGATCAACATTGGCGGCATTGGCGGCATATATTCGGCTCCAGATCACGTGGCCGCTTGTTCTGGCTGCGATTTGAGAGGGTGAACTCTGCTCGTTTTTTTTAAATTTTTCTCTGCGACTTTGATTGCGTGTGGTGAAAAACGAACGGGTATGTCACAGGTCATTAACGTCAGGGATCCGTTCTAAGCGGTATTTGCGCAAAATACAAAAATCGTTGCATCGCCCCTTTAAGGCTGCGGTCCCACGGCAGCCATCTTGAACAAGGCGTTAGTTCAACCAACAGATGGCGACACGCACCCGTGGGGTGGCCGAAACATTGGTTCACAGTGGGATGACTCGAGCACCATCACGTTCCCCTCGTGGCCTTGCTCGCGCCGCTGCCAGCTGTGCTCAGCTAGCTCAAGTAGCGTGGCCCATCAAACGGATGTGTACGAGAATGTCAGGCTGGGTATAAATTGTTCTCTGATATAGGGAGATGCGGTCGGCGGTTGTAACGGGCTTTCGCAATAAATCTTACCAAGAAGGAATCAGATGTTGATTGACGTGTCAATATTCTATCAATGAAAATTTCCTCTGCAGGAATGCACGCTCAGTAAACTCAATCTTCCAAGACACCAGTGGAAGCGAACGTCAAGTAAACTGCTTCACGATTTACGGTACTTACCTCACCATTTTAATGACGACTAAAAAAAACGTCACGAAATATTATGTTTCACGGGGTCCGGAAGATGTTGTAAAGGTTGTTACATTATAGTTCCAAGAAAACAAACGCCGTTGCAATATTTTCGGAAGTACCGACACACGTAATGTTGTAAGTACAGCTTAGGAGGAATATGATGAAAACCATCAGAATAAATGGGAATACGTTTATTTGCAATGAAGACGCTATTAATGAACGGCGTTTAGCGACGGCAAGTTATGAGCGTTCGGGAATTTATAAGTTGACGTGATTGCTAACTATGGACATGCGGACAATGAAGACCAGTTTTGTCGGGAGATGGTGTTGCGGTGATGACCTGATATCGGACGACTCATGGCAGACGAACAAGCAAGTTTCTTCTCAGCGAATGGTAAATGTCCAGTGTCAAGCACAACACGTGGCTACCGACTTTGTCGACGTTTCGAACACTTACCGCTTTGGACAAAAGTCCTGGCACCTAGGCTAACTTTGTGGAAGGACTCGAAGTCTTCCTTGAGTCCAACGCCATCATGAACAGTAACTGAAAACGTGCCACTATTCAGTCGGTGGGTGGCGAAACGTATCCACATCTGCGGAGTCATGGGCGATGCGTACTTTAAGTGGCTGGAAGTTTACACGATGCCTGCCACGACGTCCAAACACGTCATTGACGTTCTACGGTCTCTTTTACCTGCTTTTGCCCTACCAAAAATACTTTTTATCTGATAACGCGCCCAATCTTGCTTCAAATAAAATAAACACGTTTTTGAAAAAAAAAACAAAAAAAAAAACGGCATCAGGCATCACATTAGTGCACCATACCATCCTGCAACTAACGGGCAAGAAGAACAGATGGTGTGCGATACGAAAAAAATCCCTTTTGAAGCTTACGAAAGAAGCAGTTCAGTGAAGAATCGCCAGGTTCTTGTTCCGGCAGCACGCGTCGGTCTCATCTTACACGGAAAAAAACCCACCGAAGCAATATTCGGCGGACGAAGAGCCACACCCCTCGTTCTCATTATACTAAGGCTTACGAACCAAGATCGAGAGATTCCCACATCGGGAGTAATGGCAGTCTGTTCAGTCGGACAACTCGTCTACGTGAGAAATTTCAGCGAAAGTCTGGCCTTCCGTGTAAAACTTGAATAGAAAAAGCTCTATGTTGGTTGACCAGGAGGTGTCATCTCTCTGAATACGAATACGCCCTTAAGTGTAAATATAACTAAATCACAAAACGTTCTGTGTGTATTGTGTAACTGCCCTTGTATTTGATAGTAGAAGCTATGGTGGTGATTTGCACCTTTCACACCAGGCTCCTCCTTCTTATTTTTCGCCTCATACTCCTTTGCGGTTTAAGTATGCTTCAAGAATATTTTGGAACGGGGACACCTTACGTCAACGAGGCCATTTGTTCCAAGTAGTCAATCAGGGAATGCTGCTAGAAATCCGTTCCTCATATAACGAATAAGCCGCACTTCTGCACAGTGCAGTTTTCCTGTTCCACGTACAGTTGTAAAGCAGCATCCTCATTGATTCTACCATTAACTGTTGCGGGTGAAGAAAGTCTTTCGGTACACGATACTTGAAAGAAGTCTGGCACTGTACGTTGTGGTTCGACACCCACTAATGTCGTCGTCCTTATAGAGCCTCATCATTTAATCATTACCTCGTCACCTCATATTGTTCTTAATCAACAGTAATTACAATAGGCTACCGCCATATTACAATCCAAGAATTGAAAAATTTAGTTGTTCATTCCTTCAACAAGTTTATTATTTATATAATGTTAATACGTTACATTACCTGGAGACGATCGACGTCCATCGTCGATCTTCAAATACTTATACCTGTATATAAATTAGATGCACAAGGGGGGGGGGGGGGGGGGGTTGGTGGCCGAGTGCATGGTCTAGCGAACACCAGCTCGGAGCACTTGGAGCGAAAGCTCGCGCTGCAGAACCCACCCCGCCCCTACCCGTTTCGATCTGGAAGAGCATCGTACCGGCGTGCGGTCGTATATCACTACTGCGTGGTGCACGTTAAAGACCCCAGGTTTGCGGTTGTACCGCACTGGCTAAATTGCTCATCTACAGCTGAGACACCAGACGCCCACTAAGGCAGACTAACTTCCGGCTGAATAAATATACGCACAACAATTTGCAATTAGACGCATAATAACAAAGAACACAGCGTGCCGCCTCTTTTCTTTGGATGCCTTCTTTTTTTTTAAACCAGCGCAAGCTCATGCGTTCTCTCTTATGAGACGGTTAGAACGGTGGCGTATAAAACCCGCGTTTCTCCTACCCGGCCGCTTCCTCCTCTCATTATGTGTATTTGGTTATAACTAAATAAGCTATAATAATGGTGTATTATATATTCATATTTACTTCCAGTTTCAGTCCGGGAAAAGGAGTTTCGCGGGAACTAGAGCCAATAAATGAGCTGCGCTTAGAGTATCGGCACTCTCTTCCCCGACAGCGTTGTGAACGCCGCCATTTTGGTGCTTGTGCAGAGCAGGCGCAACTGCCGATCGTCATGATTCAAAAGTGCGACATCCTCAGCATTAGATTCGGTGTTAGGAAGCTCATGTAATGTTGCTTTCCTTTGTCGCAAACTGTTTAAAGTGGAGGACGGAAAAGCCTTTCTTGTGATTTCAGATAAAGCTTCAAATAACTGGCAACCATGATTTTAAGCCACACTAAGACCAAGCGTCGCTACTCTGAAGCGTAGCTTATTTAATGACACTATTCATGCTCTTGTTCAAGAGGCTTGTAATACCTAGGGTGCCTCAATGTTCTTCTGTTTAGGGTGACGCCACCCTTTGTAGTACCCGATGCCGACAGCACGTGCTCACGGGGAAAATACAAAGAAGTCGACGAAAACAAAATGTCGCCATAGCACAGTCAGAGCCAGAAACGCGTGCAGGACACGCTCTTTCACGCGCTCCTGAACAAAAAATAAAAAATAATGTGTGGGACAAAATGGCGAGATGCCACCACCCTAAGCAAAGCGCACATGAAGGCACCCTATAGTAATACCTGAAGGGGCCATGACATAAGCCCCGTGGATTCCACAAGCCTTTTGACACCTGCCTCTTCTTCATTGTTCCCGCTTGTGCCAGTAAATTAGCTACGGTTCAGAGTAACGACACTTGGCCATATTGTGGCTTAAAATCATGGTTGCCAGTTATATGAAGCTTTATCTAAAATCACAGGAAACGCTTTTTCGTCCCTCACAAATGTTTAAACAACCCGCGATAGAGCATAGCAATATTGCATCAGCTTCCTAGCACCGCATCTAATGCTGAGGAAGTCGTACTTTTGGATCAAGATGATCGGCAGTTGCGTTTGCTCTGAGCAAGACCCAAAATGGCGGCGCCCAAAACAATTTTGAGGAACGGAGTGCCGATACTTTAAAGCTCATTTAGTGGCTCAATGCATAAAGTAAACTCGGGTGTATTCTTTTCCTCCTCGTCTTCAATGTTAATTGATTTCAATCATATCGAATAATGGACACATTATATCACGCTACCCTTGTGTAATTATTTGTCTTAGATTTATTAGCCTGACCCAGTACTTAAGCCATTCAGTTATCGATAGTAAATCTTCCAATATATTTTTTTAAATGTGAGGCTAAAAAGACACGGAGATTGATGATGATACAGACGCCAACGCCGCCCTCGGAAATTTCTTGAACATTAGAAATCAGCAGTGTGTCTGCCATCCGCCAGGTAGCGCAACAAAACACCCAAACAGTTTTTAATTGTTCTTAAAATTAGCTAAGCTCTACACCTATTAAGAAACCAAAGCAATATCATTGTGAAAATTTAATGCATCGCAATGTATATTTATTCCAAACAATAAATATTATTAGATGCCAATAAATCTGTTTGATGTCTAAAAAAGATATGCGTCAAAACAGGTAAGTTTGAAACGCTCCTGGAGCGTTATGACTTGGAAAATGAAAAAAAAGCCATCGTCCACCTTTTGGGCAACCAT